ATCACTGGTGCTGGGTAATGGTCCAGAATTGTGGCTGGTTTAGAACGTGTTCCCAATTTGTAAAAGGGAAATAGATCACTGGCATGTAACTGTCGTCCAATTAGCTTAACACCCATTATGGGAGACAGAATTGAAACGATAATCACCAGTTCCATTCGTACTCAGCTCGCCATTCGTACTCAGCTCGTCATTCGTACTCAGCTCGCCATTCGTACTCAGCTCGCCATTCGTACTCAGCTCGTCATTCGTACTCAGCTCGCCATTCGTACTCAGCTCGCCATTCGTACTCAGCTCGTCATTCGTACTCAGCTCGCCATTCGTACTCAGCTCGCCATTCGTACTCAGCTCGCCATTCGTACTCAGCTCGCCATTCGTACTCAGCTCGTCATTCGTACTCAGCTCGCCATTCGTACTCAGCTCGCCATTCGTACTCAGCTCGCCATTCGTACTCAGCTCGCCATTTGTACTCAGCTCGCCATTCGTACTCAGCACTCGTACAACACAGTAAATTAGAAATATTTACAAAAAACTTGTAAAAAATATTTACATGGACGAATTTAGCCTCGTTCTGTCCAAAGATTTGATGGAGTTAGCTGTGGAAAAGATTACGATATCTTTGAACTTCAGCAAGTTCAATTTTGAACTTTGATGCACCTGAACTTCTGCAAGGTTTCTGATTTTGCTCAATGAGAGATATTGATAAGGAGAGAATGAGGATCATGAGTCATCATGGTCCTCATTCTAGTCCCCTAAAAGGGAAGGGAACTATCAGGAGAAAGCCTTAAGTCATTATGACTATATAGCACTGGGAAGAGGTCAGGATAAGGATTTGGGATGGGACGGAGGAAAGGAATGGTGCCCAACCACTTGGACGGTCGAGGATTGAACGCCGACCTGCATGAAGCGAGACCGTCACTCTACCGTCCAGCTTTATTATCGTTAGAAAAAATTATTATATTGGAAATTGTAAGTACGCATCATGCCAAAATTAAAAATTTTTTTTAATTATAATACTTATTCTCTAAACCCCAAATTTGAAGGCTTATTTTCCGTAGAGTTTATGGAAAGTGTGTTAACGAAACAGTACAAAACGTCCACTAGACTGTGCGACACAGTGGTTGCAAGGATCAGGTTGGGTTACCGTTACCTGTGGCAGGTGGCTGCAGGTTACGGGTCTCCCAATCCTGAGCACTCCAGTTGCAAACTCTGTGAGCAGGAACTACGGCATGATCTCCCGCACTACATTACTGAATGCCCAGTTATTAGACCTTTCAGACCAGTTGGCATGAGGTACCTGGAGCTTTGCAATTACTTTATTGACTCTCGTATTCTTGAAGATATCCTCACAGTATACCCAAAATTTGCCAGTGCAGGCTATTAAATACATGGCTCCGTATGACTAACCATCCTGCGAGATGGGTGACTTGTATTACCACTGCTACCTTATTCACTCTTGTGTTGATGATATCCTCAAAATGCATCCGGAGTCTGCCAGTGCAGACCGCTTATCACATGCCTCTGTAAGACTAACCATCCTGTGTGATGGGGATTTTTTAGCATCACCTAGTTAGCTTTTTTGACACACTGTACTCCACTTCATATAGTCTAGGGTAGATGCACTAATGCAGATGTACCTAATGTGTTAATAATAAAAATAATAAAAACCGGCTATATAAAGTGTTCTTATCAATTTTTATAAAACAGAATTTGTCTGTCTGAAGTAGGAGGCCAAACACTTCAGGCTAGACTTGCCCAACTTTCACACATGAAACACTGGAGATACACGAGTTTCATGGGCCAGTCGCGGTCGGACCAAGTGCCAGACTTTAAGAACTATCGAAATGTTAAGTGCTCCCCAACTTCCCCTGCGATTTTCATTGTCTGAAATAAAATCATGAGTTATGAAAACGGTAATTTTTTCCTTATATATATGCCGTTTATTCCGGTGGAATTTGGGAGGGGAGAGGGGGGGGGGTGAAAGAAGGAGGGGGATCTTTGCGTACCTGGTTGCCTGGTTGATCAGTCGTTGCCAGGTTGCCAGGTTGATCAGCCTGGTTGATCAGTCCAGCAACCAGGAGGCCTGGTCGACGACCGGGCCGCGGGGACATTAAGCCCCGGAAGCACCTCAAGGTAACCTCAAGGTACCTATTGTTTCTTATCATACTCATTATCTCTCAGCGTACGTATTGTCTCTTAGCGTACTTATTGCCCATTAGAATAGATACTGTGTCTCAGCATATCTATTGCACCTCCGCTTTTCAATGAGACTTATTTGCCCACGCTCTCAGGCCTCCAGGTCTCATGTGGTGTTACTTCCGTGTACAGCTTTGGAAATAACTTGTTATAATACTGCGAGGCCTGGGAGTGATAAGTGGCAGTGATGGTCATGACAGCCATGGCAGCAGTGACATCCGTGACAGCCATGACATCCGTGACAGCCATGGCAGCAGTGACATCCGTGACAGCCATGACATCAGTGACAGCCATGGCAGCAGTGACATCCGTGACAGCCATGGCAGCAGTGACATCCGTGACAGCAGTGACAGCCATGACAGTCATGACAGCCATGAGTCATGACATCCGTGACAGCCATGGCAGCAGTGACATCCGTGACAGCCATGACAGCAGTGACATCCGTGACAGCCATGACAGCCGTGACAGCCGCAGTAACAGCAATTTAAACTCTATTAGTTTTCTTGATTTTTCCACCTAATTTCGGCTCTGACAACCAAGAGCACTGTACCGCACTTTCTTCCCCCCTCTCACCCCAGATAAGACAACAGGCGCTGAAGGTCGATTCTCCCAGCCTACAGCACACAGCCTCCGGCCCTGTGAGCACCGCCTCCCAAACTTGACCGTGCCGTTTGTGTTAGATCTGATAATTTGAATATAATAACTTAGAGAGTTTATGTAAAACCATTTCAGCGGATTATTTTTCCATGCATTACAAATTCAGTGTTGGTGGAGCTCTGGCCAGGCGAGGGCTTTGGGTCTGTGTGATGTTGGGTTTATCAGTGTTGTTTGTTCTAGTCTAGTATTATTATTATTATTATTATTATTATTATTATTAGCCTTTCCATTGGAGACTTTCGGTGCCATGGAGAGAGGGGGACCTGCTGCATGGGTAACAGCTTCTCCAATTCTACCTCCTATGCTTGAAGAGAAGCGTAGGAGGTGGGACTCCTGGACCGTAGCCAGAGTGCATGGGGAGGGGGGGGGGCATTGTGTGGAAACCCTGTTAGGCTTCAGTGGAAGACTCAGGAAGCCTAAAGGTTTCAAGTTGAATCCCATGTTGCATTGCTTTTCACCATGTCTCCGTGGCGTAGTAGGCTAAGGCTTTGCTTGACAGTCAACACGTCCTACTAAGGTTCCCAACGTCAAGAAAACGGCCAATTTAAATTGCCCTGCCCTAACCTACCAGAGGACCCAAAACAGAAAACGGGACAGTACGTCACTTTCGCCAGCCGCTTCCATTTTAGAGTACGACAATTTTTGGCCTTAGGTAACGCATACGTGCGGAAAGCGACGCTCTCTCTCGGAGGACAGGTTGTGGGAGAACCCAGAGCACAGGTTCAAATCCTCTTCACAGCTACTGATTTGCTCATTATGATTAGAATAACTGAGACAATCAGTTACTGTGTTACTGTCATTTTTTGCCACCACCACAGCAAGCAGGGTTTATCCTGCCACCACCACAGCAAGCAGGGTTTATCCTGCCACCACCACAGCAAGCAGGGTTTATCCTGCCACCACCACAGCAAGCAGGGTTTATCCTGCCACCACCACAGCAAGCAGGATTTATCCTGCCACCACCACAGCAAGCAGGCCTATCCTGCCCCCCACCACAGCAAGTAGGCTTATCCTGCCACCACCACAGCAAGTAGGCTTATCCTGCCACCACCACAGCAAGTAGGCTTATCCTGCCACCACCACAGCAAGTAGGCTTATCCTGCCACCACCACAGCAAGTAGGCTTATCCTGCCACCACCACAGCAAGTTGGCTTATCCTGCCACCACCACAGCAAGTTGGCTTATCCTGCCACCACCACAGCAAGTTGGCTTATCCTGCCACCACCACAGCAAGTTGGCTTATCCTGCCACCACCACAGCAAGTAGGCTTATCCTGCCACCACCACAGCAAGTTGGCTTATCCTGCCACCACCACAGCAAGTTGGCTTATCCTGCCACCACCACAGCAAGTTGGCTTATCCTGCCACCACCACAGCAAGTTGGCTTATCCTGCCACCACCACAGCAAGCAGGGTTTATCCTGCCACCACCACAGCAAGCAGGGTTTATCCTGCCACCACCACAGCAAGCAGGGTTTATCCTGCCACCACCACAGCAAGCAGGGTTTATCCTGCCACCACCACAGCAAGCAGGGTTTATCCTGCACCACCACAGCAAGCAGGGTTTATCCTGCCACCACCACAGCAAGCAGGGTTTATCCTGCCACCACCACAGCAAGCAGGCCTATCCTGCCCCCCACCACAGCAAGTAGGCTTATCCTGCCACCACCACAGCGAGGGCATCTAAATCAGCATTCTGGTAAACATCTGACACGCGAGTCTGGCTGGATATAAATAGGAGCTGCATCGTATGGGCCAACAGGACTTCTGCAGTTTCCTTAATGTATCTTGTCTTCAAGATTGGGCCGCCATCTTAATACAAGACGGCGGCCCTATTTTGATTTTTATTTTACTTTTTTTTTATAAATAAGAATGTAACGAAATCCCAAATGATGAATATTGCATGATTATAATTTGCAAGTTGTAGAGTGATTTTCAGCACATTTGGCTACAACATTTTTCAACTACAACTACGACTACTTATGTTACAACTTCTACTGTTACTACTCCTACTGTTACTACTTCTACTGTTACTACTCCTACTGTTACTACTTCTACTGTTACTACTCCTACTGTTACTACTTCTACAACCGCTCCAGCTACTACCCTTTCTGCTATACTCCTTGTTACTTAGAGCAGTAAATAAGCAGTAATGTGGTTCAAGTTGAGAATAACTCCTTCCCTGACCTCAAGACTGTCATCTCACCACTGCAGAAGAGATGCCCTCTCACCCCTGAAAAAGGACTACCTTACTACCCATGTAAAAGAGCTTCCTCTACACATGAACGGATACAAAACCCTCTCTGTTAATGGGATATCCTCCAACAATAAAGAAAAGGTAACCCCCTCTCACCTTGACCTAATGGCCGCCCCCTCTCGCCGATGTTAAAGGGCTGCCCTTTCATCTTAACGAGTTACGAGCAATTAAAAGATCCTTATGCTTGCCCAAGACCATAGTTGGAGACTAATTAGTGGAAGCTGAGTTTAACGACCCACACCAGGGGAGAGAACTAATGAGAAGAGAGGAGAAGATAGGAGGAAGGAGAGGAAGGAGGAGGTAGGAGAAAGAGGAGATAGGAGATAAGGGAGAAGGAGGAGGAAGAGGGTGACCTCGATGATGATTAAACACTGAGACTTTATTACTTATTGTTACAGTTATAATTATAATAAAAGTTAATTATAATTACTGTACATTATAAGTATTAATTATATTAATATTATTATTTTCATTGGTAGTCCAATCATCTAAGGCTATACTATATAAGCTATATTGATCCATGTAGGCTACATAGTCAAAAAATAGTTCCATGTAGGCTACGTAGTCAAAAAATAGTTCCATGTAGGCTACGTAGTCAAAAAATAGTTCCATGTAGGCTACATAGTCAAAAAATAGTCCCATGTAGGGACAGGGAACCGGTCGGCCGAGTGGACAGCACGCTGGACTTGTGATCCTGTGGTCCAGGGTTCGATCCCAGGCGCCGGCGAGAAACAATGGGCAGAGTTTCTTTCACTCTACACCCCTGTTACCTAGGAGTAAAATAGGTACCTGGGTGTTAGTCAGCTGTCACGGGCTGCTTCCTGGGGGTGGAGGCCTGGTCGAGGACCGGGCCGCGGGGACACTAAAGCCCCGAAATCATCTCAAGATAACCTTAAGATGTAGGCTACATAGTCAAAAAATAGTCCCATGTAGCCCACCTAGTCATACCATGTAACATACGTGGTTATATCTTTCATAAAAAAAACCAAGTTAACTTAAAAATAATTTTGGACTCTTAACACTTAAGACGAATAAGGAAAAATGATAAGAAGACCCAATAAGAAAGGAAATACGAGGAGGAAAGAAGGAGAGAGGAGGAGAGGGAAGAAAGAGGAGGGGCTGGAAAATAAGCTTACAAAATAATGAATAATAAGTTTATTATACAAACCTCAGTAAGTACACAAGTTGGAGGAATAATCTTTTTTTAACACCATTGTCTCCACACTAACTAAAAACAACATGTCTCGCATGAGCTGCCAACACATGTACAGAAATTACCCATATTTACATTTAGTTTCTCTTAACATATATTATATATATATATATATATATATATATATATATATATATATATATATATATATATATATATATATATATATATATATATATATATATATATATATATATATATATATATATATATATATATATATATATATATATATATATATATATATATATATATATATATATATATATATATATATATAGGAGCAAATAAAGCTACCTGGGGAGCCGTTGCTCTAAGCTATCATGTACATGATAGCACACTTCACATGAAGATAACCAACCATGTCCTGAACCTCTCAACTTATCCCCTCTCCTCTACACCAACTTAAAAAAAAAGGATACCATTAAACCATTTTTGGTTCACAAACCAAAAATGGGTTTGTAAACCCATTTCCAAACATCGTGACTAACAAAACGCAGGATATTGCTTACAATCTTGGTAGAAATCGTGGCACTAGTAAGCCAATTAGTTTTTTTTTTATGGAGGTTGAAAGTTCGCCGAAGCCACGACCCGGGGAATCGGAGAGGGTGGAGAATCAAAGCAGAACGAGTAATTTGGAGAGTGTTAGGAGACACGACTCGTTCCTCCACCTCTGACTCCATCACTGTGGAGGAGGAGCAAGACGTGGAGGAAGAGGAGGCAAGTGAGAAGGACTAGGAAGAGTAGTAGCAGCAGCAGGAAGAGAAGGAGGAGGAGGTCCATAAGGAGTATAGTAGTCTGCGCACCTGGGTGATAGTCAGCGCACCTGGGTGATAGTCAGCGCACCTGGGTGATAGTCAGCGCACCTGGGTGATAGTCAGCGCACCTGGGTGATAGTCAGCGCACCTGGGTGATAGTCAGCGCACCTGGGTGATAGTCAGCGCACCTGGGTGATAGCCAGCGCATCTGGGTGATAGTCAGCGCACCTGGGTGATAGTCAGCGCACCTGGGTGATAGTCAGCGCACCTGGGTGATAGTCAGCGCACCTGGGTGATAGTCAGCGCACCTGGGTGATAGTCAGCGCACCTGGGTGATAGTCAGCGCATCTGGGTGATAGCCAGCGCATCTGGGTGATAGTCAGCGCACCTGGGTGATAGTCAGCGCACCTGGGTGATAGTCAGCGCACCTGGGTGATAGTCAGCGCACCTGGGTGATAGTCAGCGCACCTGGGTGAGAGTCAGCGCACCTAGGTGTTAGTCAGCGCACCTGGGTGACAGTCAGCGCACCTGGGTGAGAGTCAGCGCACCTAGGTGTTAGTCAGCGCACCTGGGTGATAGTCAGCGCACCTGGGTGACAGTCAGCGCACCTGGGTGATAGTCAGCGCACCTGGGTGACAGTCAGCGCACCTGGGTGACAGCGCACCTGGGTGACAGTCAGCGCACCTGGGTGATAGTCAGCGCACCTAGGTGACAGTCAGCGCACCTGGGTGACAGTCAGCGCACCTGGGTGATAGTCAGCGCACCTGGGTGATAGTCAGCGCACCTGGGTGAGAGTCAGCGCACCTAGGTGTTAGTCAGCGCACCTGGGTGACAGTCAGCGCACCTGGGTGAGAGTCAGCGCACCTAGGTGTTAGTCAGCGCACCTGGGTGATAGTCAGCGCACCTGGGTGACAGTCAGCGCACCTGGGTGATAGTCAGCGCACCTGGGTGACAGTCAGCGCACCTGGGTGACAGCGCACCTGGGTGACAGTCAGCGCACCTGGGTGATAGTCAGCGCACCTAGGTGACAGTCAGCGCACCTGGGTGACAGTCAGCGCACCTGGGTGATAGTCAGCGCACCTGGGTGATAGTCAGCGCACCTAGGTGACAGTCAGCGCACCTGGGTGACAGTCAGCGCACCTGGGTGATAGTCTTGACACTGCAGACCACTATGGTTCGTGTGCATGTTGGTGGTTGCAATACTTGCATTGCAGAAGTATTTGACGTGCACGGCCACCTGACATGTCCATAATCAGTGCACAGTAACGCTGTGCACTGTGGCTACTATGCAATACGGAGTAATAGTGCCGAGTGACTGTGAATTTGGAGGGGGGGGGGACAATACACGCTTTTGAGTGAAGATTGGGAGGATAATACTATTAATTAGCGTGGATAATAGTGTCTAGTGACTGTGTGCTCTTGGTATATCTTGAGGTTATCTTGAAGTTATCTTGAAGTTATTTTGAGGTTATCTTGAGAGGTTACCTTGAGATGATATCGGAGCTTAGCGTTCCCGCGGCCCGGTCCTCGACCAGGCCTCCTTTTTTTAGTTACACATTCCCAGGAAGCAGCCCGTAGCAGCTGTCTAACTCCCAGGTACCTATTTACTGCTAGGTGAACAGACCATCAGGATGAAAGAAACTCTGCTCATTTGTTTCCGCCATCGCCGGGGGATCGAACCTAGAATCTCATGACTATGAATCCCGAGTGCTGTCCACTCAGCCGTCAGGCCGTCAGGTAGCAATAAGCCGTTGAGTGTACACAACGACCGCCTCCGTGACCGTGGTTCGAGCCCCCCTCCGTCCTGGCCTCACCAGACTGCCACCCCCCCCCCCTGTCTCTAACTGCTAATTAAACGCTACAGGGACGCCCCAATTGGACCATTAGCGGCCTCTGACAGAACAACCGGGAACTAGCACCACCGGAGACGCCCCAAGTCACGTGGTCATGGGAAGGGAGGAAGTGAAGATGTTATTGAGATGGAAGGGAAGTGATGGGAAGGGAACTACCAGAAGAGAGCGCTAAGCCATTACGACTATATAGCCCTTGGAAGGAATATAAGGATAAGGATTTGGGATGGGACGGGGGGAAGGAATGGTGCCCCAACCACTTGGACGGTCGGGGATTGAACGCCGACCTGCATGCTATTGAGATGGAGTAGAAATAGTTTTGAAGACAGTGAGAGGAAGGAGTATTTGGGAGGAGGGAGGGAGGGGGAGGGGGGGGAGGGGGGGGAAAGTATTGGCAAGGAATGTATATTGTTTTCTTATTATATAATATTTAATATAATATTCATTTATATTTATTTTGATAAGAATTATTCTAATTATTTTAATTGATATTATTGATATTATTATTATTATCATCTCCTGCACACGGTGCCTGGGAATGGGGAAAAAGATTTATCCCAGAATACAGAAATAGGACGAAGCATAATACCCAATTGGGGAAATACCTTAACATTTGTCTATATAAGACTGTAAGTCGTGTTCTTGCCTTGCCAAGACCCGCGCCTCACTGACGGAGGGAATACACATCTACGTAGGTATAAACATACAGCAATGTATGTCACTATAAACCTACACATGAATTTACGCCAATGTATATATATACATATAAAGCTGTGTATGTATGAATCTGCTCTGAAAATGACACGTGTGAGGGGGGATACTTAAGAAGAAGTTGGAACAGCAAAGAAGCAAGTCAGAGAGAAAAGATTAAGGGAGGAGATCGTGCAATTGCAGAAGAGTGCAGAGAGGGTGGCAAGAGACAAGACATAATGACAGCTCCAGCAAACGCCAGAGCGGCAGTCACGTAGGAGCCACACCTTACAAGGTTTGGCTCCCTACTTGGTCACTAATCCACCGGGCACAATAAACGAGTAACCATATTGTCAAGCAGACGCAGCTCTCAGAACTGAGAGAAAAGAAAAACGAACCAGGTCGCCTCAGGAACTTTCTCCAGAGCGGAATATACCAAAAGTTCTTCTCTTAGTTGAGTAGGACACATTCCTCTCCGTCGTCAACTGCCGTCCACTGGCCATCAACCACCAGTACTCATTCTCACATGCCATCTCAAAATGCTATTCTTTCAGGAGCCTCTCCCAACTC